ATATCATTTACAGAATATACGATTAACTTAATAAATACTGTCATATATATGCAGGGAGTTACCGCTATTACTAGCCACCTTTTTCTCGCTCATCATAAGTATTACAAACAAAATGAAAGAGAAAAAGGTTTTGCATTTTTCTATAACCAACATAATAGAATATATCAATTCTTTATATTTGCAATATTTTTCGAGAAACGAATGTGACCATTAATTTTTTTAATGGAATGCTGTATATTTTTTTATATCATATACAAACGTGTATCAAGACGAATTCATCCATATGATATACAATAAGCACTGTTAAAGATATCGTTTACGATATACCGCTCAGAGATGAAACTCATTTAAAAAGCGAAATAACTCAAACACGTGCATTAATACCTCGGACAAGATTGGCAGAAGCATTCCATTTAAAAAATTAAAGGACATTTCGCAAAACTTTTTTCTCTATCATTTTATTCGAATACTTACTATTTGTGAGAAAATCGCTGACTAGTAATAACGTGAACACCCTGTACATCGTACTTATTAACAGAACAATATTATTCAACTGAATATCCTCGAAAGATAATTCAGTCAATATTATCAATGGGTTACTAATATCAGAAACATGATAAAACAAACTTCTGATATCAATAACCCATTGATAAAATCGATGTTCTGTACAGTGGACAAAGACAGTAATGGGGTTAAAGACACTTGTCTGGCAGTATCAGAATCACAGTGTATCAATCTTACCCTGTACTTTAATACGAAGAGAAGGAAAATGAATCATTTTAAAGTTCAACGGGATTCACGGAACCACCGAGTAGAAAAACTCGCCAATGCCAGACGGTTAAGTCAAGGAACCCGGACCTCGATGAAATACTATAAATCACGAAGTCATTGTGTCTGAGAAGTTTTCATAGGCGGTTGGTTCGATCTCCTCTCCCCTCGTCCCGGGCTATCATCCCCCGGTTTCTACCGTCCTCCTCGTCTCGTTCTCATTACGAAGTTCCCGGTCATCAAATTTTATTAGCCCCGCTTCAAGGGTTCGCCTTGCTTCTAACTCAATATCGTAGATTTGTAGTCTCGGTTTAACTACCATCGCTTCTTCCTTGTCCTGTGCCAGTCGCGGCGTTCTTTCCTTTTCCTTCTCCCTTTCACAGAGGTCCGTACACGATTCCCTACCCCGCGTGTCCCCCACTTTCCTCCTCCCCTGGTCGCCCCCTTTTTTTTCTTTGTATTTCCTCCACGGCCTGGAACCCCCAGATGTAAGCGCGGCCGAGTCCGAGAGCTCGAGCGACTTTGAAAGCAGCAATAATTCCGTGCTCTACGGCCGAGAACTAATTTCCACCGGGTCTGAGAGGCTGGCCGAGAAGGGGGGGGGGGGGGGACTGGGAATCCGTACAAGATGAAGAAGGGTGGACCTTCCTTCATCCGTCTCCACCATTCTGCCCCCTTTAGCCCCCGTAGAATCCCTGATTCCTAGCGAGCACAATTCGTTTTCTCTAGCGCGCTTTTATCGTCCGACAATGGCCTAACCCATCCCACAGCTAGGTTTCGTTGCAGGCGCTCGCAGCCAATAAAAAGCCGCCATCCCTACGACGCAGCCGGCTGGTTGATTCCGCGGCGTGCGGACGAACGCGGTAGGACCATCCAATGCCAACTGTGACACGAATAGTGATGAATCCATAGAAAAACAGGTCCAGATACGTTTGGTCCTCTATGAGCACGAAAAGTTTGAACAGGTTCAAACATGGTTCGTCTTTATGAGCACAAATAGTTTAAACAGTCAAAACATGTTTGGTTCTACATGAGCACGAGAAGTATGAAGAGGCCAAACATGTTTGGTTTTACATGAGCACGAGAAGTTTGAATAGTCCAAATATATTTGGTTTTACATGAGCACGAGAAGTTTGAATAGTCCAAACATGTTTGGTTTTATACGAGCACGAGACGTTTGAACAGGTCCAAACAGTGTTGGTTCTTCTATGAACACGAAAAATTTGAACAGTCCAAACGGAGTTTGACCGTGGAGGAATGTTTGAAGCGGTTTGAATCTTGCAACATTTCAGTTATTTGGGAAGTTTATCACAACCTTCAGTTTGGTCTGGGTTAGGTCGACCAAATTTCGTTTGGACTGTTCAGTTACCTTATCAGGAATTCAAACGAGTTTGGTTTTCTATCGCATCAGAAGTGTGAACAGTCCAAAGATTATTGGTCTTCTATGAGTACAAGAAGTTTGAATAGTATAAGTAGTGTTTGGTGTCCTATAAACACGAAGAGTTTGGACAGTCCAAGCAGACTTTGGCCGTGGTAAGAAATTCAAACTGAAGAAAGGCAAAGAAAGTATCGTAAGAAGTTGAAAGGGGTAAAGAGAGCTTAGATAAATAACCAACTGTGAAACCTCCAATGCCCCATCTTCTCCAATCGTATGACCGACACGAGCGGCTTGATACTTGCAACATTTCAATTATTTTGAAAGGTTAAACACGACCTTTAATTTGGTTGCCTCACCAGGATTGAACTCTGTTTGGACTGTTCAAACTTCTCGTATTCGTAGAAGATCAAACACCTGTAAACGGTTTGATTATCCATCGTTGATTCCGGCTCTATCCCGGTCGGGCAGTTTCAATCGGCAGTGGGATTAACGAGTGGTTCGATCGAGCTGCCGAAAACTGCGGTTAACGGTCGGTCTACCGCTTTGCTTCCACGGGACAGAGATTCTGGTCGCGTCAATTTAGGCCTGATAATTGACGGTTACTGTGGGTAACGCCAACGTGCGTGGGCACTCGCGAACGACTAATAACCGTTGGCTGGTCTTTATTGGAGGTTATGCCTTAGAGTCAGGATATGCTTTACGTTGTGATTAGAAATTTCTTTTGACACGAAGAAATTTCGAAATGAAGAGATGGTTGATAGTAGGTTTTTGGAATGTCTTGTTCCCTCTATCGATTATACACTGTTCAAGTATCTATTACATGCATATTTTGAACTGAATTGGTTGTAATTAATATGGGAATGAAGAGAGTTTCCTGAAGTTCTTAGAAACGAATACTAAATCTAGTAACAAATTATTGATTATTCGTTGTTTTAAGTTATACAATGTTTAGTATAAATGCTATCAAATATTCACTAATTAGTGATTGAGTGTTAAATGTATCGAATTAATGGTACTAAGAGAATAATTCAGTGGCGACATTCGACGGAGATCCGGTATTGCTCAGCTAGACCCGGTACTAATGCACTGCAGGCAATTACCACGCATGATTATCAAGAATGTAGTAATACAATATCTTTGGTACACGGCCTGTTGATACAGCGGACCATTATTACCGCAGTAGAAACAAGGCGTATTAGTCAGCCACCGTTTGCAGTAGTACGCAGCGGCGAGGACCAGCAACAGTAGACTTGGTTAGCGCATAATCAGCCAGCTGCGGCTGTAGTAAGAGTTTGTTGAAACTCGGACAGCAGTGCAGGACATTATGAAATGTCAGGGATTGGACAGTAGAATAGGTAAATAGAGTGCGCCGAACAAGGACATTACATCACTGGCATAATTAAGATGATTGGAATTATTGCGAATCAACGATGCATCGAAATTCAATCACAATTCAACTACACACTGTTAATATTTAATCTCCTTAAATGAAATAATTCTGACATTTTCTTTGCAGAATTTTTCATTTATACAAGATTTTTAGAGGTAACGAATCGTTAACTGACTAAATAAATACAGTTATTATGTATTCTGTAGTGAAGAAATAAATGAATGTAGTGACAAATTATAATAAACTGAGTCTAGTATTAAGTAGTAAGTTTTGCGATTGCTAGTTTAAATACAGCCACTAGTCTCTCACTCGTTAAATGCTATTAATAATATAAGAAGAATAAAATAAGAAACAAACAATTACTGACAGGATACTTTAATTATATATTTCGTGTAAAATAAAGAAATATAAATTTAAAGGAACTTTATAATAAATATTTTCCTTCTAGAAGCCCGATACTGAATCGAAGAGATTGAAAACTTCTTAACTTCCTACACGAACAAAGAGCAATTTCTCTGTATTCCTCAAAAGACCTCAAATAATTACCCCCTACAAGCGGATTAATTCCAGAAGCATCCGAAACGAAGTTATTAAAGAATTACCCCGTAATAACCGTAATCCCGGACGTTTCATGACCGCCGGAACAAGTATAATTCCCAGAATCCTGTTATCAGGCTGGCCCCAATTGGGCGTACGACAAATTGAACGCCCGCGAATGACGTATAAAAATTAATGAGGGCGTAGTTAAAGGTCGCGGTAACATACTTGACGATCGGCCGAAGATCCATGTAATCCTCTTACGTCGCTGGATCCTTCAGATCCAGCGTTGACCGACTCATCCCGCGGTGGGGTGTAAGCCTTTAAACCTATCTCAGACGAACCAATATCGGACCAATTTCGAGAAAACGAAATTTAGGAATAGATCCCGGTAGTCCGTTACCTAATATCCGGCAATTATAACTGAACTGCATAAAGTACAGAATAACTTAATAAAATTTTGACGTAATAAAAGCCTTAGTGGAAGAAATCAATTTTGATCTACATTTCCATATTTGTGGATTAGTGTTTAAAACTGAATTTGTACGAGGAACTGTGATGTATTTGTAACAATATGTTTGTTTTCCGAATTTATTTAAGAAAATATTGTTAGAAATAGTGACAAAGGAAGCATTTATTTTCACTCCAGTTTCCATACTTTTGTTCTGTCTTTCCTCCCCTCCTCGCCCTTCCCTTTCCACATAACTCACATTTGATTCATTTTCTTATAGACGCTTGTTTGACCTTCTAATGCTTTTTTAATTTATATTTTTGTAACCTTTGTAATATACATACTTTGGAACTATATATAAAAATCTGTGCGATGTTATCATCAACAGAACAGTGTTCCTTGTTAGCTAACCAGCTTGTATAATACGACTGCATAAAATTCAAAGTTTACTAATCGCATAAAAACGGTGAACTTACCTTTTGTTGTTGCGTCTGCGTCGGTTCAGTGGCAAGCAATTGCTTCAGGGCCGGATGTCCATGGCCATTTGGCGTCGACGTCGCACCTGGCGTGCTAGGCGTGCTGGGATTGCTTCCTGGCGTGTTCGGTGTGTGAGGGCCGGTCGTCGGACTGCTAGGACTAACGCTCTCGTTCACCTTGCTACCGGCGTGATGATTTTCCGTGTGCCTCCTCAGACTCCTCGCGTCGCAATACGACTTGCCACATCCTTCCGCCTTGCACTCGTACGGCTTTTTGTTCCGATGGGTCAGCATGTGTCCGTTCCTGTCACAGAATTAGTAAAAATTCTTCGTTAATCGCCAGAATAATGAAATATATATCGGATATTGTATATATATGAAATACAGTAGACTCGGGATAATTGCCTGTTGGATAAATATCGTAAGAAATGCTCCCTGTTAACACGAATTACACACGCGCGCCAATCTTATTTTCTGTCGCTTCCTGTAATACTGCCAATAATTATAATGTCGATAAATTCGATAATTACACTTCCTAGAACTGCCCGCCATTCGAACTCCAAGTACGGGTAATTATCGCGAGGCTACTATATCTATGGAGTGTCTTCGGTTTAAAACGAGGACATCGTGTCATTGGACGTAAATATCAAGTATATTCCATTAAAAATGTCAGTCTGTTACGAATATAATAAAAATATTTTCAAGTATCCATGGAGTCTCTTATTTTATCGTGCTCTGCAGGAAAATAAATATAATAAGTATAATAGTTGAGGGAGTGAAAGATGTGAGTGAATGTTACCAGCGAGTTCAGGCATAGCTGAAGAATACTTGGATACAGTTTGAATTGAAACATATACGTATTCATTTCGATATTTTAAGGGGAGATAAAGGGGGTTGAACAAAAAGTCTTCTACGGTACCATATTCGACCCGCTACTATTTTGTACATACTATGATTATAATACTCAACTTTTTTAAAATTGCGAGGCGATATTATTTTACCTCAAAAAGATCATTACCATAATTCACTAAATAAAAATGATGTAGGGTATTAAAAAACCATTCTGAATGTAACTGAAGCACTATATCCTATCCTTGCGTTTCTTAAAGATTAATACTCAGTTCATCAATTAATAGTCAATTACTTACTGGCACACCTAAGAAAAGGAATGTTACATCCCTCGACAAATCTAAAACCCCAAAGAGAGAGAAAAACCCCTCTTTTTTTCGACCTATAATAAGATCGAAATTTTCTTTCTAACGGGAAGAAGCGATAAGTCCCTCAGACGACTTTTCCGTTTTAAGCACACGGAAAATTTCCCGAAGCCCGATCACGCAATCCTCTAGATCGAACGGAGAAAATTATGTCGACCCAATTATACCCGCTATCTATACCGTGGATCTACCCGTCTCCAAGAAATCCCGTACAACGCACAAGCACGTTCCACGTTCTATCTTCGAGTCACATCTAAGCTCATCCACGGCGTGACAGCGTTACGGCAGTTTCCTCGCCTAAAGACTTCTCTCCACCCCATTTGCTCGATATCCGGCGTAACGACATCGACGGGGCGAAACGTACACTTAACGCGCTCGTGGACACGCCTCAACGAGCTTCACGAGTTCCAAGAAGATGACTCGTGTCGCCGTTCAAAGCGGAGATGTTGATGTTGCAACGTTGACTGGAAGAAAAAAAAAATGTGGGTCGAGCAACAAGTTGGCGTAGGAATTTCGAGTAACGGTGATCTTAAAATGAGGGCAATTCGTGACGAGAATTTTAATTTCGAGGGTAATTCTGACGTTTTCGTTGGTAGACTGATGTTTCACTCGAGGGTCTCTTAGAATAAAATTGGTTCATAATGTAAACTCTTATGTTTGGGGGATTGCTACTTGTGATGAAAACTAGGTTATTTCGTAAATTGTGGTTTAATTCACTGAAATTTTATTAATATAGTCCTGTGTATGTACTCAACCCCCTAATGTAGTCACCTGAGGGGTGTAATCGTAGCTAAATGTGGATTAACTTCGTTCTAAATATGCTTCAATTTGATGTTGAAACCATAATTAAAATTGTTGTGATCTGTACTATGGTATTCCAATCAAATAAATGTGTTGTTCGATTCTAAACATACATATAGATTTTATCTCTACATGTACCTCTCATGTAAGGCACAAAATGTTTACTATAATACGTAACTTGTGTTTACTTAATTATGATTGACCATAGTTCGAATAACTTATTATGCCTTTGTACATATGCAATGCGAAGTCGTACATTTAAAATATAATTCATACGAACAGGAGGTAATTGGTATTTCATTTCTCCTTTGAGAGGATTTTTCGAAATTAACTCTGCCATTGAAACATCTATTCGATGTTATATAACAAAATTCCATATATTATAAATTCAAGTGTAAACATGTAACTTGTTATAAATTCCTAAAGGAACTTCTTTTAGAGCAAACATAGCATAAAATCTAATAATATCCTGAAAATAATTATTTGTCAATAAATACTAATGACTTCGATGATAATAAATTTTAACCCTCGTGTACTGTTTAATAAACTGTTGCATCACTATTCCTTCAATTACACTCGGTGTCAGCTTAAATCGAATTAAGAAAATCTACTTACTCATCAATTGATAGTTATAGTGTCAAAGTGATTCACAAGTTTCTCTGACTAAGAATATAATAAAAAATTAAAGTCCAAGATTGGGTCACATTCACCCGAACACTGGTAAAAGAACTACTCAATCAGCCAAACATGGCATCTCTTTTACAAGTATGTATATTCAAGAAAATAGCAATTCACAAATTTAAACATGCATATCTTATTCTGTCAAAATTCCCAGTACATCTCTAAATATTGTACATGAATATGTAATCTAAGAATCTGTATTCAAATCTATGTAAAGCCGTATAACTCTCATAATGTGTTTTCTCGTGTTCAAATAAAGGGAAAAGGGGGTAAAAGAAATTTTCCACAGCCCCAAGAAAGGAAAGCTTAATGTTCCCAAACCCTCGCCCGCGGGTACGTGCACAAATTCAAAGAAGACATTTAACTGGCCTCCATACTTCGCACAATGGCTCCGGAATGAAAGTGTAAGAGTCGCCCGTAAACATTCATCAACCGTGGCCCCGGCGTTAACTGTTATCTCGGGCTGGCGCCATTTTCACGACATCCCGAAACAGGCGGACGAGGCTAGGAAAAAGGAGAAAGAGTGGACCGACTGCAAAATGCAACAAGTTGGCCGTCGCGGTCTAACGGACGAATGAGAAGGGTGCCTTTATCACCCTTAAGGAGCCTCTGATACGATGATCTCAACCCACCCCATCCCTCCTCCACCCACACCGTAATTGCATTAATCCGACAATGAGTTACACGGTGGAAACGACACCGTTAAGCGTTCAACGGCCTCAGTCGTAACTATAATCGAGATCGGAGATTTACCGCGGATAAAACAGATCGTTACCGTGACTGTGTGAATTCTCGGTTTGTATTACTGTCGCCACAATTGTCTAGAATCAAAAGAGTGACCCACAAACGAGGGAATTTTTGGTCCAGCGATTTTGGAATTCAATTCTGTGCCAAATGATATCTTATGATGAGACATCGATCATAAAAAATTTTAATCACATCAGGTTTAAAAGAATACATAAATAAATAAGCAACAAAATTTCACGTTGAGCTAGCAATTAATGTGTTAGATATGGGAGGTCAAAGAAGTAAAAATTCATTAACTTGTCAGCATATACTCTTCGATGTACTGGACTTTGATGTCAATCCGATAATTTAAAGAATTGTTTCCAGGGATTTTGCTGAGTGGTAGCAACGAATTTGAATTTAGATTTCCAAAATTCAGAATGGCCGATTCAAAATAGCGGACTGTACGTCGAAAACTGTTGTAATTTTTATAGAACTTTGGTCTAACATTTATGAGGTATCATTGGGCACAGAATTCAGGTCCAAAATCGTAGGACCAAAAACGAGTGATTTTTCGGGTCACTCTTCAGCGACTCAAATGGTGGAAAACAAATTTTTTTTTATCTTATAAAAAACTCAAATCAACTTTATTATTAACCATGGAAGATTTATTCTATGCATTATTGTTCTCTTCAGGCGATTTCATTTCATCAGTCTGATAGTCAAAAAGTAGAAAAAACTTAGTTAACACTTTAGACTTTCATGAAAATGTTGAGAACAAACTGTTATTGAATGACGACGTTATCGAAGAGAATTCCTAAAATTGATAAAAATGTGTTCATGTATCTACTGTTGTTTGAATGAAACTTAGAAGTTCCAAGATTTTTTGAGCTAAATAAGATAAGAATAAGACTCTGATGTCGGCTACGTCCACGCCTGATACTTCGTCGTATCGACGTTGAAACGTTAACCGCAGGGTTCTCCGATTCCAGTGAGCAAATATTTGGCCGGGAGTATCGCGACGATGAAGGAGTCGAGAGAGGAAAACCGGAGAACACGTTTCTTTTGGGTCGTTTAAATATTGATGTCCGTGGACACTTCCGTTTTGTATTACTGTGGAATAGACAAGATAATTGATATGAATCTTAATAAAAACTTTGAGACCTTTTTCGAACATACCATTTCGTATAAACAGAACTGATTAGGAATTTATTTCTATTTTAGAGGATTTTATTAGCTTGAAAATAACATGCTAATACCATTAAATTATATTGAAGTGTATTTTACATATTCGTGTGTTGTTATAAATACACGGTCTAATAGTAACGAAGTGAATAATTATAATAAATTGAATGCACAACGAATAATTAATTGAATGTGTCAAATTCTGAATATTAAAGCTTGTATTTGTACTCTTTAGTAAACTGAAATATTCAAATTTTTATTTCTAATATTATCGATACTGATAGTATTCAAGTAAACATGCTTCAAGTTACTAGATTTCAAGAGAAACGAAATATTATATTTAATCAGTAACTTATAAGTTAGGAAGCTTATATTATTCTATAGTTTAAATCACAACGTGAATATATTTATCTTACTAGACTGCGGATTTTATGCATTTAAAGCCTATAAGGCTCTGTGAAATACAATAAAAGACAAAACTTTCATCAGACGTAACAAATTCTCTATTTCATTCTATACATAATATGATACCTACTTAAGAGTAGAAAGGAAATTCCTACATTTGTTATTATCTCTACAAATTCCTTTCAAAAACGTCATCTTGCATAAAAATCTGCAGTCTATATAATTACCTGCCAAAACTCTAAAAAAAGATTCTCAATTAATATTTACGGAAAATATTATTTCAGGAATTTAT